TGAATCAGCCCCAAAAGTCAAATCAGCCCCAAATTTTAAGAGTACTGATTCTACCCTTGTTGGGGCCATTTTGGAAAAATGGGGCTGAAATGGCCCACAATAGTCCAATACGACCCAATGAGAATCTGAAATAGCCCCCCAAAATTCCATATCGATCATAATATAGGGCCATTTTGGGCAAAAAGGGTCATTTTGGGCAAAAAGGGTCATTTTGGGCAAAAAGGGTCATTTTGGTTAAAAAGGGTCATTTTGGGCAAAAGGGGCCGTTTTGGGTAAAAAGGACCGTTTTGGGTAAAAAAGGCCATTTTGGGTAAAAAGGCTATTTTGGGTAAAAAGGGACCATTTTGGGTAAAATAGGGCCATTTTGGTAAAAAGGACCATTTTGGGTTAAAAAAGGACCATTTTGGTTAAGAGTGTTATTTTGGATAAAAAAGACCATTTTGGGTAAAAAAGACCATTTTGGTTAAAAAGTGCTATTTTGGGTAAAAAAGGTCATTTTGCATACAAGTAAAAATTCACATTCCGTTATCGCTGCCAAATGATGATAGGAACGTAAGTCACATGACTCGGCAATGTGCATTGCATTGCTTTCTTTCTGACTGTCTCTCGTGAAGGAACTTATCGGCTGAGTATAAACTCACGTTGACTGGTAAGAGGTAAGCCATGGCCGCGTTCGATCCACTAGCCTTCGTTTGACAAAGAAAGAGTACAATCTTGGCTGGAAGAACTCATACTTTGATCTAGACATCATACAAAAGATTTCAGGTAATTTTTTTTATTGTCAGTATTATAACGAAGTATGTCAACAAAACTTCAAATTTCTGTCGTTGCGGTCAGATGTGACCACGGTCTGGATTTCCAATAATTCCGCAAAAAATGCTATAGATACAATCCTAAATTTTTGTCAAACAATGTAGCTTTTTTATGCTGTAAAAGGATATGAATGTCATATTTAATGCGAGTAAAATAAAAATTGTGTTGACATCCGATCGAAGAACAAGCCCGCACTATTTTGTTCAGCGGCGGTTGCTAACAATCATGCGCACATAATAAGGCGCAATTTTATCAACCGTCGTCGGAGCAGTTAGTATGAAGTTGGAGTTTTTATAATCACAGGAATTCGTTGAAATATCTCTCAAATAAGCTTTCATTTTTGCTTTGCTAATTCTTATTATTAATTGTCATGTTAAATAGTTTGTGATTGTTGTTATTATTCCTTCTTTTTCAGCCATMAGGGACGTCAACTTCAGAATCTTCCCGGACGCCAACTCGTCCTAAATTCGAGTACATCTAGTACACCTTGGACAGGAGGGAGATCAACTCAGTTTGGATTGTAATAATGTGAGCATGTTTTTGTTGTTGATTTGAGTTATAGCGAAGATGTTCAAAGCTAACGTTTGTTTTCAATCTAGGATGATCAGGAGCCCCGTTGGAGACACAATATCAAGTTTGAAGCAATGGAAGTAGAAAAAGAAGCAGAAACACCGAAGAGCACAAGCAACTGTACTCCACAGTACAGTTGCTTGTAAGCCCAAGGTATTTTTAAAAGTGTATTAGCAGCATACATAAGTTAAAATTGTAATCGATCTCCTATAAATTCAATTCATAATATAATTATAACTTGAGCTTAGTATGATTTCATAAGCTTACTTAAGCTGGCCAGGGCTTATATGATTCTATTAATTAATGTCTAGTTTGGTACGATGATTTTTTAAGCTTTATATCATAACCAAAATAAATGCTGAAGTTAACACCACTAGTTGATTTAAGACCATTAAAAGGAGTTTTTTACAATGCTTGTACAGTGTATTTATTAATCTTATATAGTGATCAGAAATTTTATTAATTTTTGAGAATTGTTGTTATGAGATGCATTTCTTCAATTGCTATTTCAAAGGAATTTATATTTTGTGTGTAATCATTTTTTCATTGAAGTTCTTTTGTAACTGAGGTGTATACATGATGTGTGCGAGGCTTCAGGTCTCGGTATCGCATCTTTACATATGTATTGCTTGGTTATGGAC